TTCTTGCCTTCAAAATCTGCCATTCTTTCAACTGCACTTTTAATAATAAATAATAATAATAATCCTTGCATTTGATGTAGCGCTTTTCACATCTTCTTGATGTCTCAAAGCGCTTCACAGAATAGGCTGTAAAGTGAATTGACTGTATATTGGTGGGCGAAATGCGGTAGTCAATTGCGCACAGCAGTGTCCCACAAACAATTGTGGATTGAATTGACCAATTTTTTTTTTTTTCTTGAGGGTTTATTATCAGGCATGTGGAGTAAGGAAACTTGCTCAAGGTTTTACCCTGCCGGGAATTGAACCCAGGTCTCTCACTTGGAAAGCGAGTGCTCTAACCACTGAGCTACAGGACTACTTTTAGCCACCGTAACCCCCACCCCCCATTTCAGCTGTAAAGTTCAGTGATTGCATTTTGTAGGGAAATACAGCAGGCAATTTGAGCACAGCAATGTCCCACAAACAGCCATGAGGTGAATGATCAATTTTATATGGAAATTAATGGCCAGGATACCTTCTCCCTTCTCTTTTGAAATAGTGCCACGGGATCTTTAACATCTACCTGAACAAGTTTAATCTCTCATCTGAAGGACAGCACTTCTAATAATGCAACGTTCCCCCAGGACAGTGCAGGCGTGTTAGTCTAGATGTGGGGCATAGTCTTCTGATTCCTATCTCTGAGATAGCTACCAGCTGAACCAGGCTGGCAATTCTGGTTCATGACACTGTAGGTTATATCTGAAATGCTGAGGAATAAAATACTCCTATTCCAGGCCCCCTGTATCAGAATTTAATTCCAAGGCAGGTGTAGCACAGACAGCACTGACATCAATCTTGGTCTAAAAAGATCCCTTCATCCCAATTTTGGGAGAGCACCTCACCCACACCACTCCCAACAACGGTTGCGGTCTCTGAGTGTGATTGCCACTTTAATCCCAGGTTTGGGTGGTGGATTGCAATAACCAAACTCCCATAATACTCCCATGAGCCAAGAGAAGGGAGACTTCTATTCGATCAATCTGGGCTGTATTTGAAGCCTGTCCCAGAGGTGGAAGGACAATGTGCTAAACCAATGTAGGCACCAGTTTGCCATTTCTCCCAATTGCATTTTTAACTGTCTTGACAGTAAAATGGTTATTGTTGATGAGACTGCCTTTTTAAAGAAGAGTTTGTGGTGCTCCTTGTGAGAATCCTATTAAATATTTAACAATAAAATGAAAGGTAAAGCCTGGAATAACTGATGCATGCTCTCCTGGACTTCAGGGCAAAACATTAAAAAGCTCTCACAGTATTTCTTTGCAGCATTGCGGTGCAAAATTGCACTATTGCTTCTTGCTGACTTATAATTATAGCAACTGCTATATTTGTACACTTCCAAGATGCCAACCAGCATTACAATACGGTAAATGATGGGAATATAGACCATTCATAGACAATTTTCCCCGGTTTACATTAATTTGGACTTTGGGTGACACATGGTGGCCACTAGGGATAAGTGCAGCCTCTAGCTTTTGAAGATAAAAAGGAAATCTCACAATCTGAATATTTTGCTTTGAACATTCAATGCTAATGAGCTAACTAGGAGAACTAGTGGTGGGGGGGTGGTAGTGGTGGGGGGGGGGGGGTGTTCTGCTCCTAATCGTGTGAAGCAGCTGACTTGGTATGACTTCACAAGATCGTTCAGATGCAGAAGGCACTTCAGCCGATTTGATCTCATCCTTCCAAAATACCCATCCATCCTACTGATCATATTCCCACTACTGCATCAAGCTGTAGGTTTTTATGTGAGTCCATTGTCCTGGCCTTAGCCACCCTTCCTGATAACCTTTCCAGGTCGCTTTGTTAATTATCTTTATCCTCTGAGTAAATAAATAAAAGCACTAATAATAATCCTTGCATTTGATAGAGCGCCTTATCATGTCGTCGAGATGTTTCAAAGTTTATATACTTACAGGATATATTGTAAAGTAGTGTGACTGCCGGTGTATTTTGTGAGCAAAATACCTTCCAGGGAAAGTCAAGTATTGTTCATTGTTTATTCTTTTATAGGCCCGCAGGCTAGCTGTTAGATCTCACTCATTAGTAATGGAAGTCTCATATTTCTATTTAAAACTGTGACTGATTTGAATATATGTCACTCCAAAATGTAAACATAGCTCCAAGTCCTTCAATCAGATTTTAGATCCTAAATCTCAATCCCTTAACATTTCTCTGCTGTTGACAGCTCTGACGCACAAAGAATAATGTAACTCACCTAAAGCTGGCAATTACCTGGATGATGGACACCAGTACTTGTCAAGTAGTTGATGCCAGAGGTACAGCACTGGGCCACAATACTCAGAAGGAAATGTTTACTTTCCTATCCAAAGGTCAAAAGAAAAGGTCAGGCAATCTCAGCCTTCCAGATTCCCATCCTGCCATCTTTTCGTTATAGCATCAAGCTCTTTCTTAAATGAGTCCCAGGGTCCTTGGCACAGCCACCCTTTCTGGTAACCTACACTAGTCATTAATTACCTTCGGAGTAAAAAAAATTCAACCCAGCATAGTCATGAAATTGCTCCCACATAATTTGGAGCTGTGGCCTTTTGAGGGCTCTCTGTCAATCTCTGTGAGAGATGTGATTCCACATGGGAAGGGATGAATTTGCACGCAGCAGAGATTGCACAATGCTTTCCCCTGCCTCTGGCAGACTGTGGTACTGCAGGGAATCCCCAATATTCACATTGCAACAAAATGCGACTTGACAGGTTAGATATTGACTGAGCAGATATCACAATTGTCAGATTCTTGCTTTGTGGGCGCTCCGAGTTAATCAATCTAAAGTGTTGTATTTGTGTAGATCTATAACTATCCAGATAAATGACCAGTACAAGCTTTATTGCTACATCCTACACTATGTTAGGAAAATGAATGACCCACTTTAGTTTACAGTCACCAGTGGTCTTATTGAATTATTGATCTTTATCATATAATGTCTTGGAATATAACACAGAAGAATTCTTATTGTTTGTTGTACTGTTGGTGCATAAGGTCGTAAGCACAAATTTATCTTGGTGCACAGCCTGACATTTGTTGGCTCCTGATACTGGCTTTGTTGCTGGTTTCAAATGGGAAAATGGGCTAGATTTTTAATTACAGTCTATTTCAGTTCCAATAATTTTCAGATACTGAGTTTTAAATAGAGTGTCATTAAATACTTTATAGGGAAGAGGCAGGAAAACTGCTGCCTAATTAAACCCATTCACTCATCTGCCATAAGGCCATTTCTATATTTAAACTGTTAATCATAACATAATTACCGGTATATACTCCTAGGGAAATTGTGCATTAATTTTGCATTGGTGGCACTGACTGAATTGTTAGAAACAGTAGATAGATAATACATGGGATCCAATGTGATCACAATGTCAAATGTGATTTCACAACTGCACAATAATCAATTTACAGGGAGAATTATTTGCAAATACAGCAATTACATTCTGCCAGTAAGTATGCCGTGTATTCATATTATTTATACTAATAATAATCCTTGCATTTGTTATAGCGCTTTTCACGTCGGGAGGACGTCCCAAAGCGCTTCACAGAACACACTGTAAAGTGAATTGACTGTATATTTGTGGGCGAACGCGGCAGCCAATTGCGCACAGCAATGTCCCACAAACAGTCGTAGATTGAAAATGACCAATTTATTATTGTTTTGGTTTTTTTTGGAGGGATTATTATTAGGCTCTGTGTGGAGTAAGGAAACTTGCCCAAGGTTTGGCCCTGCCTGGAATTGAACTCAGGTCTCTCACTTGCAAAGCGAGTGCTCTAACCACTGAGCTACAGGACTCCACACTTTATCAGTGTGATGCTCTCCAAATATTAAAAAGTGATGACCTCTCTGACGATTACTTCGCTCTTTAATGGGCACTTATTGTATATCATAATATCTTCCATTAAATTGCATACATACCACAATGGTGTTGGAATTACAGCATTGGAGAATTGTTGGGAGAAGTCTCACTTATAAACTGGCAGCAAACTAAAAGCTTTTAGAAACAAAGTAGCAAGAAATGAAACTAATATGAAATCCCTCAAAAGCACTGAATACTCAAAATTTCAGTCAATGTTCCAAGACATTCTGAAATGCTATATCCCAGTGCAGTACGATGATTATGATGGTTCTAAACTCAAAATATACCAGTTGCTTTCTTACATGAAATCCATGAAATGCAACAGTATTCTTCCTTTCTGTCCTTGAATTAGATTCAAGGTCTCTTTTTGAGAAAAGATGATTGAGATGAGACATGATCCAAGTTTTTAAATGTTGCATTCATATAGCAATCTTCAAGCAGGATAATGTCACGAATCAGATGCCAAGCAAGGGGGTAGGGGAGACTGTTGTAGAGGTAGGGTTTTAGGTAGGAGTTGCAAAGCAAAGTGTTAAGAGGTTTCTCTCTAAAGTAAATAATAATAATCCTTGCATTTGATATAGAGTCTCATCACGTCTTTGAGACGTCTCAAAGCACCTCACATCATATACTGTAAAGTGAATTGACTGTATATTTTGTGGGTGAAACAAAATATACAGTCAATTCAAAATAGCTGAAGAATATGCTTATTAATTCACATTGTAAAATGACAATTAAATTACTAATTGAGAATATTTATTCAATTAATATTCATAGGTTTGTACATTATATATAGAGAGAGTATATATGTAGGACAAAACAAATATATACAAATAAATCAAATGCTTCCCAGTTTTATGAAAATAAAATGCAAAATATTAACAATGGAAAGCTTTAAGTTGCTTTTTGGTATATCTTGCTGTGTCTCTTAGAAATGAAATTCTGTCTCTCAGAATACCTGTTTTATAGACATCTATAATAAGTTTTCTTAGTTCATATTGTTGCGATTTTTCAACTGAAACACTGGAAGTCCATGTTAGCGCTCATTTGTGAAATCAATTGTGTGTGATCTACTAAACAGTTCTTCTGCTTGTTTGTATCTTCCAGATTCTGGCCATCATATCCATCTTGTTCATCGTATTGTCAACTGTTGCCTTGTCTCTCAACACCCTTCCTGAACTTCAGGATATAGATGAGTTTGGACAGGCCAATGATAACCCACAACTTGCCCACGTTGAAGCCGTTTGCATTGCATGGTTCACAATGGAATATCTTTTGCGATTCTTATCGTCGCCAAGCAAGTGGAAGTTTTTCAAAGGCCCGCTGAATGTTATTGATCTTTTGGCTATTTTGCCCTATTATGTCACAATTTTTCTCACCGAATCAAACAAGAGTGTGCTCCAGTTTCAGAATGTCAGGCGAGTGGTTCAAATATTCCGCATCATGAGAATACTGAGGATTCTCAAACTTGCCCGGCATTCAACAGGTTTACAGTCATTAGGTTTTACCCTCAGGAGAAGCTACAATGAGCTGGGTTTGCTAATATTGTTTTTGGCTATGGGCATTATGATATTTTCAAGCTTAGTATTTTTTGCCGAAAAGGATGAAGATGCAACTAAATTTACAAGCATTCCTGCATCTTTCTGGTGGGCGACTATTACTATGACCACAGTTGGGTATGGGGATATCTATCCCAAAACTCTGTTAGGTAAGATAGTTGGCGGTCTCTGTTGCATTGCTGGAGTGCTGGTGATAGCCCTGCCGATACCAATTATTGTAAACAACTTCTCGGAGTTCTATAAGGAACAGAAGCGGCAAGAGAAAGCCATTAAGAGAAGAGAAGCACTTGAAAGAGCAAAAAGAAATGGAAGCATAGTCTCCATGAATTTGAAAGACACGTTCACTCGTAGCATGGAGCTTATGGATATTGTGGTTGAGAAAGTTGAGGAGAATATAAACAAAAACGAAAAAACCCTTGATAACCACCTTTCGCCGAGCAAATGGAAATGGGGAAAGCAGACAATCTCCGAAATGGGCTCCAACAAGTCTCTGGAGCCTAAGTACCAGGAGTTAAACCGACAAAATTCAGGTGAGCGTTTGAATAATCCCAGCTCCAGCCCACAGCACCTGAATGCTCAGAAACTGGAAGAAATGTACAATCAAATGACACAGTCTCAGCCGAACCTTACCATCAGCAAGCCAGAGCACGCTAGCAAGTCCACTGTACATGAAGAAGAGCTACAAATGGAGGAAGTTCCTTGTTTAACTGACCCATTGCTCACCACTCCTGCAGAAACTATCATGGATATGAGGAGCACTTCTAGCATCGACAGTTTTGCTAGCTGCGCCACTGATTTTACTGAAACAGAAAGGTTCCTTGTCTCTTCAAAGATTCCTGAACAAGGACACCTAAGATGGACTCCTGACGCCAATCCCATGGATGAGCAGCCGTCTCTGGCAATCGTGGGAAGCAGCACATTTGATTATGGTGTTTGTGATTTCAACGTAAATGAATCGTGCCGTTTTTCTATGGAGCGGCCTGGATGCTCCAATTTAGACAGCATAGTGGAAAGTCCCAAGAGCTCTTTGAAAGGGAGCAACCCATTGAAATCCAGGGCTCTTAAAGTGAATTTTATGGAAATTAAGAGTGGTGCTCCTCCGACACCACCAAGTACTGCCCGACCCCTGCCAGTGTCAGTGATAGATTTCTCAATGTCTACACCTAAGCACATCAGCACCATCCTGTTGGAAGATAACTCTCCTCAAAGTGAAAATGTGCTCCTCGGTGCTGATGTGCTAGGTCAGCACCAGGCTGCTAGTAAGAGGTCACCTCAACAGTTTTCCAAGCAGAAACTTTTTGCTTTCCATGCAAGAGGGAGGAAGAGTTGCGTGGACTTAGACAGTGAGGAAGATGACGAGCTTCCGGAGGCCAAAGAGCCACATTACAACATCCAGCAGGAAGGCAGACAGAACTGCTGCAGTGAAAGACACGATAAGCACAGCAAGGATGAAAACCATGTGGAGGGCGCGTGTGTTGTGGGTGCGGTTTCTCCAAAATACACTGGTCAAAACTGCACTCAAAGTGCGCATAGTGTGGTAGGAGATGGCAAGACAGAGAGCAACCAGGCTGCATACAAAATGGAAAATCACATGTTTACGCCAGAAATTCACATGAAACCCGGAGAAGGAGGTTATTCATCCTCATGTGAAACTAGCATGTGACTATGGTTAAAGTAATATTCATATTTTCTGGTTCTTTAGTTGGATGATGTTCTGCTAATGAGGAAATTGAAATGGAATGGCACAGTCGCTGTGCCTATGGTTGTTTTGCATGGCATGATGAATCTTTTAATCCAGCCACTGTTCTCTCAAAATGTCACAGACTGCTTTTTGTGCAGAAAAAGGATTTGAGGGACAGTGGAAAGAAACTAAAGACTCTAAAATGGAGCCCAAGTACTGTAATGTTTCAAGATGTTTTTTCACCTTTTCATGAATAACACTAGATTGTTTTATGCTGCCACAAATTATTTTCCCCCCATTAAGCTATATTTACGATTTGCACAAAAGGAGGACAGAATGTACATGCATGCATTAGAAACTGATGGGAATCACAGGTGATTAGAACCAGCAAAATGCATTTCTTTGTAAATAGTTGGGGGAAATGCCAAGAGATCATAAACTGAAGCAATCACAGAGGCACAGATTTTCCTTCACAGCGCACTGCCTGGAGGAGGTGCATGAGCTTTTGTTGCAATATTGCAGCCAGTAAAGAGAAATAACTTAACATATCATTTCATTCTGTCTGGAACGTTTAGATTGCATATGTTCATAAAAAAAGAGGGCATAAACTATTTTACTTAGGCTATATTTATTTGTAAGAAGAGCATATTAAGTTAAAGTTTGCATAAATCTGTTAGTTTAATATATTTTTGGTAAAAAAATGAATTTCGAAAGAAAGGGAAGGATTTAATGACCAGGAATCAGAATGCACAGCCTCGGTCTCTTTGGTTTATCTTCTATTAATAATTGCCAAATAGTCATTGCAAATGGCTAAACTGTATTTTTCTTGTCAAAACTCTATTTTTATGGGTTACTTGAATATATATGTGTGTGTTTGGGAGTGGGGATATCCTAGAATATCATGAAAGTTTAAAGGGTTTTCAGGAGAATAATGATTTTTTTTGCCCTTCTAAACTTCCAAACTTATGAATATTAATTGAGTATCAGCTTAATGTTACATGTGGACGTGTAAGTCTTTGTCCAAATCAAAATGCGTAAATGATCATATGTGTCACTCCCTCAATTTGGATAACTAATCAGAAATCTGACGACCTAGATTTTGAAACGTTCCCAATAGGGTGGCTTGTTCTGATGTTCCTGGTGTCTGGTCATTAAGTCTCAATGTAGAATGATATATTCTTGTCCGTGTTACTATATAAGTTACTGTACCTTGTTAAAACGTAAAATTTCACTTATTTAATTTGCACTTTGGTTAATGTCATTGTTTAAGTGGCGTATTATGAATACTTATGTATCACTACATTTGTTAACTAGAATATTGAAGGTAAATGTTTTCTTTTAATTCAATTTAAATCAAACAGTTTTATTTTTAGTGTTGCTGGGTAGACAAACTTTGTTTTTGATGAACCAAACTACTTGCCAGTCAAACACTGTATGCCTGAGTGTTGGTCTGTCTTTCCCAATCATTATCAATATGTTCTAACCCGTTAAAACCATAGTGCAATCGCGTTAACCTGCCTTTAATATGTGGTTTAGTATCACGACACGTTCTGTACAGCATATCAGCTTTGTTCTTTTCTCTCCGTGGATAATGGACTTGGTAAATAACAGTGCAGAATATTTAGGCCTTGTGATTTTCAAGATTTTCTTAATCATAGAATTTGGGTAAAAAATCGGGTAAGTCATTGGACAGTGGAGTTCTGTTTTTTTCAGTACCATTTGAAAAGCGTGCTCTTATATAGAAGGCTTTTTGGTTTATTTGTATATTTAACTTCTATGTAGAGATACTTAAGATAATTAAGATTGAGATATGCTGGCTCCACATACCCACACAGCTGAAGGAGCCTTGAAAACAGGTTAAAAAAAATTCTTGCACACCAGACACATGCTAAATGAGCTGCTGTCACAAGCATCACTGTCTCTCCTGGCCACTCCATGACAACACAAACAGTTTATTCCCCTGCATAAACATAAACACCTCTTCCCCTGCAGGCAGATGCCTAGACATCCCACTCCCACACGTTGATTTAATCCCATCCTCATATTTTCTTCTCTTCATAATTCTTTTCAGCTCCAGAGTGACAGTTAAGACACACTGTGTGCGCATGCTTGGTGCTCATTGACTGTATTACTTCTAAATTCTAATTATTTAGATTATTATTCTAAACCTCTTAAGCAAATGGCGGGACCCAGCTGGAGTGCGCTAACCATTCAGGAGAATATCCTGAGCAAGCAGGTGCAGGTGTGACTTCATGGTCCAGAGCTCATGCTCCACATACACGTTTTGAGCAGCAGTTTGGTTATGTGTTAGAGGTTAGCTGGCTACCTGAGGCCAGGTGGAACTGAGGAAGAGAGTCCTGACTCGATGAAGATCAGAAGCGTGAACAAGGGAAATGGGAGGAGGCTTGTTGACAATCGTTTTCAACTTTAACCCACATGTTGGAATTCGGCTTTCAGGGGGTAATTATTGGATTTTATTGGGTTCAACCAGAAAAACACAAGGCCAAAATGATATTGCAGACATTAATCAACTCTGTGAGTGCTATCTCAATGAACAATAATTAAGATATCAGAACTGAAAAGTATTTTTTTCTGTCTCTTGCAAAATTTACTATTGATGAAATGGTGGAGAATTCAAACAAGTCCAGAAGCATTCCTAATGGAAGTGCTTTCAGAGAGGAAAGGAAGAAGAGCATAAATAGGACAAGTGTTAATGGAAAAACGTTAATGGAGTCTAATGTACAGTATTCCTTAATAACGAACCTGAATAGCACAAATAAGGATTCCTTACAGGAATCAGAAGTAAGTCATGCTGACTCAAGGAAGTCAAATACAATTCATTTCTGGAGCAGAGTTCCCTCGAGAAGGAATCCTGTTAAGAATTACCGGCAATTAAACCCCAACATTTTATATTTGTATGCCAGCAAAGAGAAAAGCTGAACGAGAGAGAACCACTGGGATTTTCTGTGTGGAAGATTCAATCAAACTGTTAACTTCCTTTCAAATTGGACTATTAATATATACTGCCAATCAGAAATTAGTGATGCAGAGCTGCTAAAATGTAACAATTAATTTGCAATAATTGTCATTGATCGGGAAAAAAAATATTTTTAAAGTTGCAGTTTCTTAAACTACTAATTTTTTAAATCAATCCTAATGCATTTATTTGATTACTTTCACCCCAAGGAACATCATGCTGTCAGAAATTCATTTAATTCTTCAAAGTGTTAACCAGTATCACAAGATCTTCAGTCCCCATTTATGAGCTAATGAACCCATTTTATTTTTACAACAGAGCTAAGCTGGAATGTGCTGTGACACTGATTATTACTGTCAGCATTAACCTCATGTAACCTCAAAGTTAATTGGCTTTTTGTGGGAGTTGGGGCTGTACATTCGCTCACTTTGAAGCGCAAAATACTAACAACTTGATGAACGCACTTAAGACACAAATGAAGGCATTGCATGACCAAACATATCTTTAAAAAATAAGAGAATGTATACAAGATAGGAAAGGCGACTTATTGACAACTGAATAGGATATTGAAAGGGCCTCTTTGCTGAATGAGATATTACTTTTCTCCACCTCCCACCACCAACGCACACAAAAAGAAAACTGTACTAGCACTTTGGCATTATTTTTCCCTGGCACTGAGAACTGAAAATAATGGCAGCAGCACACAACAGGATACTTGAAATAAATACTAAATCAACTTTAAATATCAAAATAGTTTGGCTGATCAGCATCGTATTGCACTGCATAAAGAAATCCCAATTAGTGTTGACAGACATAGTGAATCTAATATCAGGTCCTAAATCTAGAGGGACAGATCAGATTTAGAATTGTAATATGTGAGACATGCAGCTACAAAGTAGTTCGCTGATCAGTGATGATTACATTTATTTATATGTTGCAGCAATGTTATCCATCCTAATTGTTTGTGATATCACGTCTCTGGTGCATAACTTGGTTGTTAGTATTTTGTACATTGAAGCGAATGATGTTAATCTACATGAGAATATATCTTTGTTTAGCATTTTGAATGGGATTTTTCAATTACAATTTTTTTGTTATTCATCATTGAGATTATATATATATAAAGAGCTTTATTGGTTTAAGGTATTATGAAGTCTTGTTTATAACTCTAAATCATTCTTTGTTATTTGTTAATTTTGAACATAATGGGTATTTACAAATGAGGCTGAAGACCAGCAGTGAATGTGAGTGTTGCTATCAGGAGAATGTTTATAATGGTGTAGAAATGGCAGTCAACATAGGCAGTACTGTCTAGAGGGAGGGGATGAGTGATGGTTAAAAATCTGTTTGACTGACACAGACCCATGGTAAGGATTGAACCAGGCATGCTCTGGGTGCCATTAATCTATATTCCTGTTTGCAATACAATCTCTTATTTTTTTTGTTCAATGAATGTAATTTCTCACTCGAGTGGCATTCTGTGAATGAAATGAACATAAAACAAATGAAGTACACCGCCAAGCTAGCCATTATGAGAAATAGTCAATCAAAGGTGAATGTCATTAAAATACTGTTTTGATAGCCCTTTTTTCCATAGGATTAGCCTACTTTTTACTAAAATTTAGTGTGTCCAATTGTTTTCTAATTTTCTCCCCAATGTAGAGGGCTTCATAGCCGAGCCTGACCCCTCAATCAGCTGACACGTACACACATGCACTACCAATATAGGTTCCTGAAAATGACTAGGAGCAGAAAAGACGACTGATATTAATCCTTCAGGAAAGGCCACAGCCAATTCAGCCTCTCCATGCAGCACCAGCTAAGACCAGCAAACTAAGTATTCAAACTAGTTATATTTGAGTACATGGTGCATAAACTATATCCATTACACCATCAAGCTGCCCCTGGACTTGTTTTGGTGTTTCTGATTTAAGCTGCAGTTTAAATTTTCTGAATGAATATGCAAAATTGCAAAGTTGTACTGTAGTCACAAAATTCTATCAAG